TAATAAACGAAAAAATAAACAATAAAATAAATGAAATATAAATCGAAAATATAAATCAAAAAATAAATTAAAAATTAAACTAAAAATAAAATGAAAATATAATGGAATAAAAAAATGAAAATTCAAACGAAAACAAAAATGAAAATATAAACGAAGAAATAAAAGAAAACATAAAAGAAGAAATAAATCAATAAATAAAAGAATAAATAAAAAAGGAATAAAAAGAATAAATAAAAGAATAAACTAATGAGTAAATAAAAGAAGGAACAAAAGAATAAATAAAATAAGAAATAAAAGAATAAATAAATGAGTTAATAAAAGAAGAAACAAAAGAGAAAATAAAAGAAGAAACAAAAGATTAAATAAAAGAATAAATAAAATAAGAAATAAAAAAAGAAGCATAAGTATAAATATAAGAAGATACAAAAGAGTAAATAAAGGAATTAACAAAGGAATATTTAATAAAGGAAATAAAAGAAGAAAATAAAGAAGAAACCAAAGAATAAATAAAAAATGAATTAAAAGAGTAAACAAAAGAGTAAACAGAAGAATAAATAAAAGAATAAAGAAAAGAATAAAGAAAAGAATAATAAATAAAAGAAGAAATAAATAATTTTCAAATAGAAGAAAATAATTAGAAAAATGTTCCTTCTGAAAAAAATAATAATTTTGAATAAAAAATTCCTTCTGATAAAAATATAACTATAAAAAAATAAAATGCTTAAAATAAAAAGAATATTAGTATTTTTGACGATTGCTTAAATGAAGATTAAATTACTGTACCATAAAAATCTTTAAAAAAAATAAATAATAATGAAATATAATAGAAGTATATATATATATATATATATATATATATATATATATATATATATATATATATATATATTAATTTTGATTTAATAAAAAGGGTTACATTTAATTAATATGATAAAGATAGACTTGAATTAAATTCTAAATAAAATAATGAGTAAATATATTATTAAAGCTTAATGTTTTTTTATATATTTTTTTAGATTAAAAAATAATTTAGGTAAAGATGAATTTTTAAAAGTAAACTTATCTTATGATGAAGATATTAATTAAAAGAAAAAAATAATGTTTAAGCATGAAGATTCATTAGGTTTTTATAAAAAATATTCAAAAAATATTTTATATTTTTATAATATATATATAAATATATATAAATATATTTATATATCTTATTTTTTTATAGAGGATATTGATAATCCTTTAATATGTAATTAAATTGTCTATGATAAAAATTAAAATTAGCCTAGATTAACAAATGCATCATCAGAATTCGATTTTTGAAAAATAAAGAAAATTTATATAAATACAATCTTTTTATTTATTTATTTTTTTTAAAAAAAAAAAAATATAAAAAAACGAATACATATTATATTTTTTTTTTCTGTGTTAAAAAAGTAAAAAAAAATATGAAATAAATTCGAGATTAAACTAAATTTGGTTGGAAAGGAGAAAATGTTAATCAGATTTAAGATTTAATAGGACATATTATAGACATAAATAGTAATTAAAAAATTATTTTTGGGAGTATAATAAGCCAAAATCTTGTTTTATCGTTTATAAAAGGAAAATTTCAATATAAAATAAAGAGTTTGAAATTCATAATAAATGAAAATCAAATATTTGATATTTTATCATTTGAAAATTATCCATACAATAAAAAATATAGTCTCTTAATATTTAAAATATAGACTGTTTTATAGTCTTTTTATGGAATTATACACCATAATAATTATGAATAATTTGATATGCAAAACAAAAGAAAATATTTAACAATTTCTCATTTAAAAGATGAAAAATTTTATTCTTCAGATATTTTTTAATCAAAATTTACTATAATGAGGAAAAAAAATTAAGTAAAAAATACATTTTGTCATCTATTTTTGGGATTTCCTTTAATAGTAAATGACTCTTTATTATGTCCTTATATTATTGGTATTTTTACAAAGGAAAATGAAGTAATTTTTAAAAATGAAAATTAAGGGATTTTTTCAGGATTTCTTTTTAAAATTAATGACGTTTATTTTATCAAAAGTATAATTTAAGGGCATAAAATGATTGAAATTCCAAAAGAAGTGAAACATAACGCACTTTAAAATCAGAGTGTGTTATATAATAGATAATGATAAGCACATAAAGATGGTGTATATGCAATTATAAGATTAAATAAGGGAGTTTTTGGTACTAGTTCAGTTGATAAAAGTATAAAAATGTGGAGTATTAGATAATTGGACATGGTAAATAAATTGCATTGTGATGGGTGTTGCAGATTTTTTGCAAGTGAAAAAAATATATTAGTAGGTACAAATGAAAAATATGTAATTTTTATAGACTGGCATTAAAATATTATATAGGAAATTATTACATGTGAACATAAATTATATTCTTTGGCAATTATTAAAGAGAAAAAAAATAATTTTTTTGTAGTTTGTGCAGGAGATTGTTATGGGAATATTTTTATTATAAAAGAAGGGATAATATAGGAAGTTGTCAGAAATATAGATTTTTGGGAAAAGGGACATTCAGGAAGTATTAATGTAATTATTTTTTAGAAAAAATAATCAGTAGTTTTTTCAGCTGGGGAAGGCGGTGAGATTAAAATGTGGTATTTTTAGGGAAATAAATTGGATTTTTAAGCTGATTTAGTAGGACATGATGTAGAAAAAAGTGTCTATTATTTAGAAATAGTAGGTAATTCGAATATTTTAGTATCAGGAGGGTCTGATAAAACTATTAGAGTGTGGAATATGGAATAAAAATAATAGGTGAGATGTATTTTTTTAAATTAAGCGGTATATTGTGCTTGCTTAGTTTCTGAAAAGGAAGTTGTTTTTGGAGAAGGGCAGAATTTAAAGATACTTAATATCAAAGAAGAGGATTTTGTTTATGTTTAAACTAATTAATGTGTGATAAAACATGAGTAGAGGATAAATGCGATTTGTAAAGTTGGAGAAAATATGTTTGCTTCAGGAGATATTGAAGGGAATGTGATTTTATGGAATTTTATATAGGCAAACAGTATAGTATCTCATAATAAATATAATCCAATTAAATTATAATAGATGACAGAGAAAAAAAATGGCATTCCATGTAATGATAAAAGTCCGGTTTTTTATAGATAAAGTTACTAGAATATTTTATAAATGTATAATGAAAAAGATAAATATTAGGTTATCCATTAGAAGAAAAAAGAAGATATTCAAAGCGTAAGTGGAGAAAAAGTTAATTATAATGATAAAATTGAAGTTCTTTAATAAAATTGTTTAATTGAAAAAATGTAGAAATAAATTAATTTAATTTGTTAGAATTTAGAGAAATCAAATAAAGAAAAAAATGAATTAGAAGTCCAGGTTAAGGAACTTTAAATGTAGATTTAAAATTAATAGAACTTTATATAAAGTTTAAATAGCTAGTGTGTGTAAAAAGATAATTATATTATTTAATTGGAAAACGAAATAAAAAATAACTCTTTGTAGGGAAAAAAAGAAGAAATAAAATAATAATTAAGTAGAAATAATAATATTAATAAAGAAGAAATATAACAGAGAATTAATTAATATGAAAATGAGGCCGAAAGTTTAAAATAATAATTAGAATAACTAAAATTAGTTACAAACGAATGCGATAATGAGAATGAGATTTTATAATTACTTGAACAAATATAAAACGTTCATTCTTAATATGAAATTAAAATTGATGAAATTTAAGAATTAAAAAATATTATTTGAAAAAAGAATAGTATATATACATAAATAAAATGTATATATATATATAAATATATATCTATATAAAAATTTATACATTGTTTTTTTTTATTTTTTATTTTTAATATTTTTCATTTATTCATTTATTTTAAAAAACAAATAATTACTTTCCAATTATTTATTTATTTAAACGATTTTTTATTTACATATAAAATTAAATAAAAAAAATTAATGAATGCAAGTAATTAATATTTCGAAAATAACTATAGTGTATTCAATATAAAAAATACTAACAAATAATAATTTTAAAAAAGTAATTCCTAAATTGCTTTAGGACCCCATTTTTAATAAGAAGATTTCAAATACGAAATTGATAAAATAAGAGATAAATTATATGAAGATGTTGATCAAATAATGTCTCCAAACATAAGTAGTGTAATAGATAAGGAAACTATGTAAAAATAAACACTCTATTCGAATAAATCATAATATGTAAAAAACAGTTTATCACATCAAAAAAAAGATGAATTTTAATTGAATTTAAATAAAGAAACAACTATTTAAAATGAAAATAAAATTGGTTTTTAAGGTTTTTGGAAAAAAAATTCACTTTTAATTCTTACTTTGGTAAGAAAATTTACAATCAATATTTTGGAACTTTCTATGAAATATAAATTTAGATATATGCAAAAAAAATACTTTAATTTAATTAATGATTAAGCTTTTGATTATAAAGAATTTTAAATGTAGGGTATGTTTATTTATGATAAGCCGAGTATTTTATATTTTAAATTTTATTAATTTAAAAAAGTGGTCTATAAATATTTTTCTTAAGAAAAAAAAGAAAAGAAAAAATCTATTATTAAAAATTTTATAGGAGATATATTGAATAGGAAAATATAGGTTTTATATCCAGATTCTATAACTAAAATAATATGGGACATTATTGTTTTAATTTAATAAGTTTTTATAATTTTCTATATACCAATTAGTGTTTCTTTTAATTTATAACATACTTGGTTTTTTGAAATAACAGAAACAATAAACAGAATTTGCTTTTATTTTATTTTTTTAGATTTAATAATTACATGTAATACTGCTTTTTACTAAAAAGGTATAATTTAAATAAATCGGGAAAAAATAATAAAAAACTATATTAAACATTATCTATTAAGAGATATTCTAATTATAATTCCTGTATTTATTTGTTAAATATTAATTGTTCCTTATTTATAAATTGTCCTACTTTTCCGAACAAGCAAAATAATGCAAATAGTAAACGATTTTGAAGAATTAGTTAATATAAAAAATGATAAAGCGGGCATATACAATTTATTAAAATTAATTTTCTAAATATTATATATAGCACATATTTGTGGCTGTTTTTTTTATTTTATTCATGTAATATAGAAAAACACAGACCCAAATACGGAAACCTGGATTACGAAATTTAAATAAGAAAACCTTAGTATTTTCTCACAATATGTAACATCAGTTTATTGGGCAGTAGTCACTATGAGTACTTTGGGTTTTGGAGATATATACCCGGTGAGCACTTTTGAGAGAATCTATGTTATTTTTGTCACTTTTATAGCTTGTGGGGTATTTGCATATACTTTTAATAAGATAGGGAATATTTTCCAAGAAATGAGCATAAAAGCCAACGATTTTAAAGAAAAAATGAGTTCTTTAAGTATTCATATGAAAAAGAGGAATTTGTCAAATAATACACAGATTAAGGTTAGGAAATACTACGAGTATTTGCATATGGAATAATAGGTAGATATAGAGGATGGACAAAAGTTCTTGAATTTGTGCCCGAGTTCGCTAAGGAAAGAGGTTTTGATGGAAATGTATGGGAAGTTGTTGTTATCAAAGAAAGAGTTTAGGCTTAATTTTTCGAAGAAATTCCTGAATTGTTTGGCTGTAAAGATTAGAGAGAAGAAATTAGGACCAGAAGAGGTCATATTTAACGAAAATGAGTTTAATAATAGGGTTTTTTTTGTACTAAAGGGAAAAATTGCATTATAGAAAAATATGTAAGTGGAAAATAATGTAGAATTAAATGTAAAAATATTAGATAAAGGGGATATTTTTGGTTTAGAAAGTTTTATTTCTTAAAGTGAAGCTTAAATAAGTGCAAAAACGATAAACGTAGTATAATTAGCCTATTTAAAATAAGAAGATTTCATAAAAATAATTGAAGACTTTCCTGAAGACAAAGAAAGATATTTTATGCTAAAAGATAAACTAAATTTATTAAAAAACTCAAGGGGTTTAGGCATTAATTGTTATTTATGTGATAATTATTAACATTAGTTTTTTAAATGCCCTTATATGAGTTATTAACCGAATACTAAGAAGATTATAATGTAATTTTTTAAAGAGTAATAGTAGTATAGGGATATAAAATATTTAAGAAAAAGGGTAAGGAGTTAATGTACTTTTTAGGATATGTTAATTATTTAAGGTTAGGCAATTAAGTATTTATTAAATAATAATCCATTTGATAATATAAATGACTTAATGGATTTAATTTAAAACTTAGAGGATGAAAAGGCAATAATTTTAAATACACCATTGATTATTAATTAAATTGTAAAAGAGCCTTAGCATTTTGATGATAGTGAAAATGAATAAGGAACTTAAACAGATGAAAGTGTAAGGTATAAGAAAGATAGTAAATATATAAGAAATAGTGTTTCTCAAAGCGATTATATAAATAAAATTGGTAATTACTATAATAAATAATATTCTAAATAGAATTCATTTAAAAAAAAACTTAATTTACTAATATGGATCAGGTATATATATATAAAAACATAAGTAATAATATAAATAATAACAATAATAATAATAGTACTAATAATAGTAATAGTAACAATAATATTAATAACAAAAATAACATTAATAACAATAATATAATTAATAATAATATAGATAATAATATCATAAATAACAATAATATGATTAATAACAATATTATAAATGATAATATTAATAATAATAATTATCTTAATAGTAATAATCATAATAATAGTACTTAATAACTTTTATCTCCTGATAATAATATTCATTTCTTCTAGAATTAATCATTAAATTTAGCCTTAAATATAGATTTAACTCCAAAACAAAACAAGAATCTGAAAATTTAAAAAATTGATGAAGATTAATATTCTTAGTTTGTCAAAAGTTAAAGTATTAATAGTAATAAAAGTATCCAATAATATTAAGATTTTACAAAAGCATTTGCCGCAAAAAACTATTTAAAAACTATTAAGTCTTAAGATAGTAAAAAAGATAGTGAAAATAATTTTTAAAATTAAGATTTTATTTTATTAAAAGAATTTGATAAATAATTTGTGTGGAATATTTATTTTATCCATAATAATTTAAATAATGTGGTTCTAAACTATAATAATTTAATTAAGAAAATGAAAACAAATATTATTAAATATGAAAGGTATAAAACTAATAGAACAAAATCTTAAAAACTTAAATAAGTACAATATTTATTATAAAGTATATAAGCTAGAAATGACATTAGGAAAAAATCATAATTAAGTAAAAATAGTAAGAATAATATGACTAAACATAGTGTATTCTCTTAACATAAAGATTAGTATGGGGGAATTTTCGCTACTAAAGGAAATTTCGATTTATAAAAAATTATGGATTAAAATAGAAAAAAAACTTACTTGAAAAGACTTTCGTTTGATATTTATAACGAGAAAAATACTATTTTATTTAATTTTAAAGATAATTAGACATTTTGAATAATTTTTGTATAATTTTTAATATACATATTTGTTTAAAGTATATATGATATATTTTATGTTTTATTTTACTGTTAATTATTAAACTTTTAAAAATTATATTTTCTATATTTATAAAATGTATATTTTAAAATTAATAATTAAATAAATAGATTTTTCTTTATAATGAAATAAAGACAAATATAATTTATTTTTTTATAAATAAATTTCATATAAATAAAAATATATTTAAATTAATAATAAAAAAAGAAATTAATAATTAAAATAATAATAATAAAAAAAAAATATTTTTTTATTTTTAAAGAAAAAATAAATAAATAATTTTTTTTTTATATAAATAATATATTAAATAAAGAAAAAAAAAGAAAAATACAAAAAAAAAGAAAGAAAAAACCCTGTTTAAAAATGTTTGGAAAAACCTTCAAAAACTTGACCACATCAAGTCTTTATTTCACCCCCTAAATGAACTTCGGTGCTAACTTAAAACAACTAAAAATCAGAATGAAAGCTATTGGCTCGATTAAGAAAATCACCAAAGCCATGAAAATGGTAGCTGCCGCAAAAATGAAAAGTGAAGTAAGTCGTTTAGAAAAAGGCCGTAATTTCGCATTAGGAAGTGTATCTAGAGTATTAGAAAATGAACCATATGTATAAAAAAAAAAATCTACAACCACCCCCAAAACTACTTTATTAGTCCCTTTTACATCCGATAGGGGTTTATGTGGATCCATTAATTCATCAGTGGTGAGAGATATAAAAAGAACAGTACCTTTAAATAGGAGTTCATATGGAATTTTTTCTATTGGAGAAAAAGGAACTATTGGTTTAACCAGACCTTTCCCTGACTTATTATTATAGGCCATAACTGGAATTGCTATTCCTATTAATTTCCCTACTGCAGCTTCTATTGCACATTAGATAGTTAACTAAAGTACTTCTTTTGATAATATTATTCTTATCTTCAATAGATTCAAAAACGTAATTTCTTAATAGATTATTCATTAGGAAGTACTTAATAGAGCAGCATTCTTTAATTAATTCAAATATGTTACTAAGCATGAAGCTGCTGAACCTGATTTGGAATATTCAAAAAATTATTTTTATGAATTGTATGTTGCATCGAGTGTTTACAATGCTCTTTTGAACTCTTCGGCTTCTGAATAAGCTTCGAGAATGAACGCTATGGAAAACGCTTCCAAAAACGCAGGAGAAATTCTAAATAATTTGACTCTTTAATATAATAGAGCAAGATAAACCAAAATTACAATGGAATTAATTGAAATTATTTCAGGAGCTAGTGCCCTATGAGGGATTTTTTATTTTTTTATAAAAATAAATAAAAAAAAGTGAAAAACGAAAAGAAGAAATTCTATTTTTTCTTCTGCTTTTTTATGTTAAACTTTTTTTATATATATTTATTTACGGATATATTTGTTTTTATTAAGTTTTTTTTTATTTTTAATAATAAATATTAGATTAAAAATATTAAAACTTTGTTGAATATATAATAAAAGATAAAAATATATATATATAAATTTTATAAATATTTATATATATAAAAACTTATATAATTATATATAAATATATATATATATATATATATATTATCCATTTTATATTTATAATTTTATTTAAAAAATATATTTAATTAAAAAAATCCTAAATATATTTTTTTTTTAAAAAAAAAAAATAAAGAAAAAATATTTTTTCTAAGTTTTATATTTTTAATAATAAAAATAAAAAACAAATTAAATTTCATTTCTATGATTCTAAAACATTAACTAACCATTCCATTCCTTCATTTAATCCATGTCCTGTAAATGCTGAACATTTAAAAATAGACCATTATCTATCTTAAATTTATGAAAGTCCCATATATTCAGAAATCTATTGAAAATGTATCTTTATAAAAATAAATATTTTTAATAAATACTTTTTCTTCGCTCAAAGCTCCTGCTAAATCCTTTTTAATTTTTAAATATTATAAAAACATAAATAAAATATATTATTATTTTAAAAATACTTATTTATTTGCTAAAACCATTAAAGGTACTCCTTTCAATTCATCTTCCTTTATAATTTTTTTGTTTTTTAAATAAAATTTAATGCCTTATATTAAATACAATATTTATCAAACTTATATCATTGAAAGTAACTCTTATTTGGTTGTATCTAACCTGTCCTTATCAATAGAGTCTATTACATAAATGATTCCATTTGTATTTGGATAATATGATCTCCAATAAGGTCTTTTATTTATTAAAGATTCTTAAAATAATTAAATATATTTTAATATTTACCTGATTCCGCTTTAACCACCTAAATCCCATACTTAAAATTTCAAGTTTTTAAAAGTTACAGTCTCAACATTAAATCCAATTGCTTTTTTATTTTTGTTTATTTATTTATAAAAAAAAAATTACTGGGAACTGTTTAAACAACATCATTTAAATGAAGTTTATCTATAAAAAAAAAATTAAATAAAATAAAGAAAATATATTAAGATTACTTAAAATTGTTGTTTTTCCGGCATTATCTAAACCTATAAATTATATTTGTTTTATAATATTTATTAAATGTAAAAAATTATAATGTTTTATAAAACTAACCTAAAATAAGAATTCTAATATCTTTTTTACTAAATAATTTTCCAAATAATGATGAAAATACAAAACCCATTTTCAGTAAAAATATTTATTTTTTAGATTTTTTTATTTAATAAAAAATATTAAATTTATATTTAATACTTTTCTAAAGTAATATAAATAGATATATATTATATATTTTTCCTATTAATTTATTTTAAAATAAATTAAAAATATATTACAAAAAAATAAATTATACAAATAATTTTATTATGATGAATTTTATTAATCAATTTTTAAAAATATATATAAATAAATAATCAATATATATAAGTATATTTGTATTTTTACTTTTTTTATTTTTAATAAAAAATATAAATATTTTATTATCAAAAATTTTTATGAATCAATGATATTTATCATAAGATTATATTAATTATATTTTAAGTAATTAGTTATAATAATATTTCAATTATTAACTGTTAAAATAATAAAATATTTATCATCTTTCTATAATTTTATCAAATTTTAATCTGTTTTTTAAATCAAATATTTTACCCTATTTTTTATTATAATTTACTGTAAATATAAGGTCATTAATTGGTCCTTTTTCTATAATTAAATGAATAGAAGCATATTATTATTTATTTTTTGAATTTGGGTCTATACTAGCTTATAATAAAAATGTATAAATATTGTTAAAATACTCAAATTATTTATCGTATAAATTTTAAATATAATAGAATGGATTATTCGTTGGATATGCCAGAGTATTAAAGAAAAGTTTTGAGTTTGAATATGTTTTGTTCAAGAAGCTCTAAAGAAATTTAATTCATTAGGTTTAATACCATAGTGCTTTTAAAAATAAAAATCAGGAACATATTTGATAGGAATTTCTCTGAATTTTTTAAATAAAAGGCTAATTATTAAAATTGAATTATTTGAAAAGTTATAAAGAGATAAGAAAAGTAAATATATTTGCAGTTATTTTTCTTAAGAAATAATGTTTTTATCAAAAATTTTTTCAATATAATTTTTTAAAGTATTGAGATATTAAAATTTTTCAAAACTAAAAATATTTATATTTTAAGAAATTTATTAGTTTATATTATTATTATTTTTTGTTAATCTAATTACATATGTATATTTTAATTATTTAAACATATATTATTTAAAAAAAAATATATATTGATATATAAGTGTTTATATTAATAAATATAAATAATGTAATAAAAATTAAAATATACATGTATATATTTTTATATTTAAATTAATTTTCTAATTTAATAAAAAAATAAAATAAATATATAACAATTAAATATTTTAATTTCTAATTAAAAAATTAATTATTATTAATCATTTTTAATTTGATTTATTTTAACTTTTATTTCCTTTTTACTCTTCTTATTTTTATTATTATTTTTCTTATTTTTGTTTTGTTTATTATTATTATTATTTTCTTATTCTTATTATTTAGCTTTTTCTTTTTCTTATTATTATTTAGCTTTTTCTTATTCTTATTTAGCCTTTTCTTATTCTTATTATTTAGCTTTTTCTTATTCTTATTTAGCTTTTTCTTATTCTTATTATTTAGCTTTTTCTTTTTCTTTTTCTTATTCTTATTATTTATTTTTTTCTTATTATTTTTTAGCTTATTCTTCCTATTCATTAACTTATTCTTATTATTCATTAACTTATTATCTTGGTTGTTCCCAAGGATAGCTATTTAAAAAATACATATATATATTTAATTATTAATTAAAAATAAATACCTAACATTTTTTTCTAACCAATCTAAGAAATCTTATTCTTCTCTTTTTCCGTCATAATCTATAGGAGTATCTTTACTTGAATTTTTAAAGAATTTAATTGTAGGGAAACTCTAAATAACGATACCGGGTATATCATTAGATGTAGAATCTACTTTTGCGATAATCAAATTTTTATTATGGGCCAATTATTTGGCTATACTTTCGTATTTAGGGGCCAAAGCCTTGCAATGTCCACACCATGGGGCATAGAATTCGACAAGAACATCTTATTTACCATCTAAAACAACTTATTTAAAGTTTTTTCCGACTAAGGTGACTACTTTTTCTTCAGGATTGGGTTCTGGAATATCTTAACTTTTCAAGAATCTTTATAATTTACCGTTTTTGAAGTTTTGAATGAAATTTAAGATTTCTTTTTCGGTGAATTTTTCTTCAAATTTATATCTGGCTAATTCTTCATTGCTCTTATTGCCTTAAACTATCATCAAACTGGGATTTTTGGTATTGTCTACACCTAAGTATTCAGCTAAACGGTCATAGTAACCCTATCCATCGTCAAATTTTGTTATTATAAATTGAATTTCTTTCTTTTATTTTTAAGCGAGTTATCCAAAAAGTTACTCGGCTTGCTTAGAATCGTCATTATCTGCTATAAATATAATTATTGCAGGTTCGTGTTTTTCAAATATTTTTTCGATGGCTTTATTATTAAAAGGTAATAACAAAGGAGTATCATTTTTTTAAATAAAGTCAGTTAAAGATTTTACACTTAAATCTTTTTCAGAAAAATCATTCCTTTTTTCGTCAAACTATTTGTATAAAACTACTTTTTGGGCTTTTTCTTCTTTTTTTAATTGAGAGTTTAATACATGACCGAATTGGACTGATTCTAAAGATTAAGCTAATTCTTAAAATATTAAATAATCTTATTCAGTTTCGCTATTTCCTAATTTTTTATAATAATAAATAAATATATAAAATTTATTTTTTTACCAAAATATACAACAGATACTTAAGAACTAGATATGAAATTATCAAGTTCTTATTTGTCTTTTAATAATTAAGAAGGAGGTCCTGATTTCTTAGTAACCCAAGAGATGATTTCTTAAGCAGTTCTACCACCATTGTAGTCTTTAGGTTATTCTAAATTTCCATTAGAGAAGTATTTTAAGGTAGGATAGCCTTATATTTGGAATCTTTGTGTGATGCTTGGGTTCTAAGTGGCGTCAATTTTGGCTAAATATATTTTATTTTAGGGATTAAATTCTAATTAATAGGCTGCTTTAGCGTATTCTGGTGCTAATTATTTGCAATGACCACACCAGGGGGCATAAAATTCAGCAAGAACATAATCGTGAGATTTTACAAAATCGTCAAAGTTTGAATCGTTGAGAACCCAAACACTTTCTTCACTATAAGGTTTTTCTGTTTGGGAGGATTTGTCGAATTTGTTTACGAAATATACTGAGAAAGCTGATAAACCAATTACTAGGACAAATGAAATGAAATTTAAGATTGCCATTTTTTTTTAATTTTATTTTATTTTTAATTTTTTTTATTAAGATATCTTTTTTATTTTATTTATTTTTTTCTTTTATTTTTTTATCATAATACGTATACATATATTTTAAAAGTTCTATAAAAAATTTTCTTTATTATATTTTTTACACGTTTTATTTAACTTTGTTAAAAGAAATATAATTAATAAATTAAAATATATTTATTGTATTTATGTAAAATATGATTATTTTTATTTTACATTTTTGCATTTATATGTTTTTATAATTTTTTTTTTTAAAAAAATAATATAAAAGATAAACAAGGCATAAATAATCTATATTTCCATTTTTTTTTAGATTAAGTTTTTAAAAAAAATTAATGAAAAATATAAAAATCCCTTCTAAAAAATTAATATATAAATAACATCAAACATCATAATAATTATAACACTGATATTTTATTTAAAATAGAATATTATGTTAAGTAGATTAAAATTATGATAGTGTAATAATATTAATTTTCGTAGCATTTTTTAATGGTTTTTACTGATTTTTCTGTCATTTTTTTTAAGAAACTCTATAAAAAAAATATATTATTTTTTCTTTGTTTTATTGATTGAGTTTTTTTTAAAAAAATACAAAAGAAACAAAAAAGCATAAAAACAAGTAATTACTCAAATTTTTATATAATTTTGTTGCTGCAAATTTTAATTATTTTTTTTATTTATTAATAAATAAAGATTAAATTATCATTAATATATCACAATAAAAAAATGTTACAATAAATAAAATATTTAAATTAAGTTAATTTTTCTTTGGTTTATTAGCCTTTTAGCCTATTTAATCTTCATTTTTATATTATATAATATACATAAAAATATATTTTTACTTATATTTTAATACTAAAAATGTAAATAATATTATTTCTTTTAAAAAAATAAAATAAAAAAAAGAATTAATGCCAATTTAAATTAGAATAAAAATAGATGTCTATTTTGGTAAAACTTAATAGATTATAAACACAAATAATAAAATAAATGAATTTTAGATTAATTATCAGTATAAAAAAAATACACAAAATTTTCAGAACTTTTAAAGTATACTTAGACTCTTAATGTTAATTTTTTGATGTAGAAGGCATCTGTAAAAGCAAAGATTGTTCAATATGTAGATGTGACGAGAAAAATATATAAATAGTTGAATATATTTTATGTGTTTCATTTTATTTGTAGTAAATTAAACTAAAAATTTGAACATTACAGATATTGAATATGATGTAAATGATAAAGATGGATGCATTGGAGGGATAAATAATTCAAAAATGACTAATGTTTTATGTCGATTCGAAATATAATATTGAAGGATACACAGGATATTAAGATCGTAATATATGGAAATTAATTTATGAAGTAAAATTTTTCAGTCATTTTTACTTTAATATTTAAAAAGCAATAATATAAAAGGAGCAATTAATAATTTTTGTAAAGAAGAAAAAACATTTTTTAATATAATGAATGGTTTACATGTTATCATTAATAGTTAAATTGCTGAGCAATATACAGAATAATATAAAACAAGAAAATTTCATGAACAACTTTTTTTTTAGCTAATGCGATTCTCTATTTTAAGAATAATTTTTTTTTGTCGATTTTAAAGAAATAATTTTTCTTTTAAAATACTTAGAAAAAAATAAAATAATAATATTAATAAAATTTACATAATATAATAATATTATGGATTTTATTGAATGTAAATAATGTAAGGTTTATGGTAAAATGCAAATTTATGGAATAGGAGTTGCAACAAAATATTTTTTTCAGATGATTCTTTTTAAAAAATTAAATATTTATAAAGAAATGAATTAATTAATAATAAATACATATTATTTTTTTATAAAAAATAATATAAAAAAAATTATACTCTTATGAATAAGTTTATTAAATGTTCAAATAGTGTTAAAGTTATTGAAAAAATGCACGAAAGAAGACTTTATCAATATAAAGTATATGGATATGTTATTTTTACTAATACTATTTGATTATGTTATTTTCAATTTTCGCCATTCATTCCAAACAAAATTATATAGGAAATAGAATCAAAAGTATTTTTAAATTTTTCCCTTCTCGTATTAGAGGATCTCTTAAATAAAAGCATTAACAATTGTCGAAGTTAAATGATTAATAAAAGGCAAAGTTGTAATAAGAAGCAAGAAAATAAATTTTTGAAGATAATAGCTAAGAAAAATAAAAATAGGATTAAATTAATATTTAAAAATTTATTTTATTATTTTTTTAATTTTTAAATAAATATTCGGTTTATTATTTATATAAAAATAAATTGGTGAATCATTATTATTTTCATGTGAATATTATATATTTTATTAAATTTTTTAAATATTATAAATTTATAAAATAATGAATTAAATTAACTTTTGAATTTGATTTAATTTTTTTTATTTAATGCCTTTATTATCTATAAGAAAAAATAAAAATAAAATAAGGATTTATTATTTTCATATCTCTTATTCTAATATTATTATTTTTATTAAAAAAATAATTTTCTTCAATCTGAGAAATAGAAATAATCGTAGCATGCATTATCATACATTCTCATAGTAACACAGCAAACTTAAAAAAACGAAAAAGTAAATATTTAAAAATAAAAAAATAAATATATTTTACATGTATATCCTAAAAGTACAGGGAACCAGAAAATTCTAACGTTTCGTCTATAAATTGTTTATACTAAAAATCTTTAAAGGATATAAGTTCTAAATCCTCCGAATAAAAAGTGGTAATTAATCAATTAATTGTTTGGAGATCTTGAATGTTATATAAAACCCTATTTAAAAAGAAAATAGTAATATTCATTTTTTTTTAATAATACTCTTTCATAACTCATATGATCATGATAATTTCTAAGTGAAACTCTGCTTCCCTATACAAGATGATCTTAATTTAAAGGAATATGTCTTAATCCTATTAATTTATATCAAAAAAAAAAAATATCTTATTTATTATTATTTCAAAAAGAATTTTTATACCTCCTCTAAATACTTTCATTTCATCAGATACATAAGTTCTATTTTTATAAAAATAAATATAAATAAGATTTTATGTTTTTCAACTTAACATGGGTAAGTCCTCCTCCTTTTTTTTATTAGTATTTTATTTTAAGTAATTTATATATTTGTAAATATGATTTTACCTGTAATGTTCATTTCTGATTTATTTTTATTTTTTTGTATTTTGTTTTAAAAAAAAGTATTAAAAGAAAAAAATTTTCCTATTAATTAATAAATCTATAAATAAAAATATCAATACAAATGGTAAAATATTTAAATTATATATTTAATAAAAAATTAATTATTTTATTAAAAATATTATTTTTAATTATATTTTTTATTTTCTGTAATTTTTTTAAAAAAATTACAGAAATAAACTTTATTATTTATATCGATTTTAATGCAATATATTTTTTTTAATTTTATAATATAGGCTTTAAATAGAATATGTTATATAAAAATTTTATATTTATATATTTATGATGTAAATTAAAATTATAATCTTTTTTATTTTTTAATTATTTATTATAAATAATTAGGATATTTTTTATTTAATAAATTATTTGTTTTATAGTATATAAGTAATTATAATTTAATATTTTTAATAATATATAATTTAATTAATTAATATATACAATTATTATTTTAATTTATGTTTAGAAAATAAATAATTTCTGTTATTGAGAAAAGTGTTTATTAATAATAAATATTTTTTATTGTTTAAAACTACATATAATAAAAAAAAAAGTTTAAAAGATTCTTAGATTTTCTAAATTTTTTAAATCTACATATAATAAAAAAAAAGTTTAAAAGATTTTTAGATTTTATAAATAAAAGTAGAATTTAAATAATAAATTTATAATATTTTAAAAATTTTGTAAATTATAGTTTTTTTTAATAAAAAAATATATTTTATATTTTATTAAAAGAAAAACAAAAATTTTGAATTTAAAAATATATTATTTTTAAATTATTTTAACTTTTAATACAATTATATTTATCAATCATAAATTGTTTTTTTCTTATATAAGCATTTAATAATATAAATATTATCACTTTTATATTAAATGAATATATATTTTTAAATAAATTAATTATAAAATAATATTAAATGTACAGAATATTTTATTAACAAAATAAAAAGTAAAAAAAAATATATAACAGTATGTTTTTAATTAAAAAAATAATAATATATTATTATATTTTAAATAATATTAGAATGTTTAAATAAATATTTTTTGTCTATATTTTATTTACCTATAATAATTAAATTTTGTACACGATCGTTAATAATTTTTGTTTTGTTATTATCTTAAATTTTAAATTGCCTATATAATTATTATTTTTATTTCCAACCCTATATTATTTATTTTTATATTATATTTTAAAAAATTAAAGTTTTATTTTAAAATTTTAAAATAAATTAAGTTTATTATAAAATTAATATTTATTATAATTCCATTTTTATTGACATATTAAATATTAATTTAAATATTTTTTAAAAAAGCATAATATTTTTTTATTATTAAAAATATTAATTTTTTACATATAATTTAAATTAATTTTTATTTTATAATAAATATAATTTAATTAATATATCAAATATATGAACTTTAATTATTATTTGTACATATTTTTTTAAAAATTATATTAATACACAAAATAAATAAATCAAAGAAAAAATATATAGTGTCCTTTTATATTATTATGAGATTTTTAAAATAATATATCACTTGTTTTTAATTTTTTTTAAATTTTAGAAATTAAAATCATTTAATTTTTTTTTTCTTTATCTATATTAAGAAAAATTTGATTATAAAAAATTTAATGTAAATTATACAATTTATTTTTTAAAAAATTGGATAAGACAATAAAATTTAAATGTGTAAATTTAAATTTTTTGATTATATGAGAATATATTTTAAATAAATTTAATATTAAAAAGTTTAAAAACAAATATTTCAATAAAAAAATATGAAATATATATATATATATATATATATATATATATATATATATATATATATTTATATATATATTTATATATATGATATTTATTTTAATGTAAAAAATAATATTCATTTATTTAGAGAATATCACAAGCTTAAGAATTTCTTTTATTTAGGACATTTAGATCTTAAATGCATGATATTATTGCTATGATTTTATTTAACTTAAATTAATTAAACTGGTTCAAGAGGAACTTATTGAGAAGGAGGTATTTTGAATACAAATCCAGTTTCATAATAGGCACAATCATAAGTCATAAAAATAACTTCTCTAGCTTCACCTGGGAATTTATGATAATCAGAACTTTATCCAACAAAGATTTCATAGTAATCAGAATACGAGTGCGAAATATTTAGCAACTCTTTATAGACAGGTTCTTTTCTTTCTATGTGGGTGAAAATGTAAGCTTTTTATAATCTGAAAGAATATCCGAAATATATATAGATCCATCTACCTTCATCACATATTTCTGTTTAGATATTATGGTACAAGTTGAAGTTTTTTGTATTGTTATCATATGTAGAGAAGTGCATGATATTTCCAATTAAAAAGAATGATAATACACGGTCTCCAGGGTTTTTAAAATCAGTGAAGATTTTATTTGAGGTCAAATGGAAACCAGTAGACCATTCTGTACTTTAGAAAGTATCTATCTTGAAGTATCCTTATACTGAATAACCGAAGTCAGAAACTTATTTGAATTAAGAGGAGTAGATTTTACTAACATTATTTTTTACTTAAAATTTATCATCAGTTTTTTATTTAATATATTAAACATCATCATATTCAAAGACTTTTTAGACTACAACTATATCTTTAAAACATAAAACATCTACTGGAGGTGTTGGAATATGGGGTTCAGTAGGAGTTATTGTAGGTTTAGTAACGACAGGAGTTGTTGATGGTTAGGTTTGATTATCAGTTGGAACAGTCGATGGTTCTGACGGAGGGTGGACATCAATTCCATTACAAGATTACTAACTGTTTGGAGATTCATGATAATGTCCTTAGCCAACATATAATGCAAGTGAATTAATTTTACCAGGGAAGTTTTTGTATTTAAAACTCTGTCCGACAAGTAGTGTGTATATATTGGAGAATTAGTGATGAATATCATTTTATACAAAAGCTTAAGGATCTCTTCCTTAGAATTAGGTAAATCCGAAAACTCTCTTAAGAACAGGAGAATAAGCGTGGTAGACGAGTAACCATCTGCCAACTTCCTATTCAGTGAATTAAATATTTTCATATTTATTAGTTTCAGTTTTAACTGCGTTATTATAAGTAGGGAAATGTAAGGTACTTCCAATTACAAAGAATGAAAGAACTCTGTCTCCATGAGCTAAGTAATCAGATGGTTATTCATTAGATGAAAGGTGGTAACCAGTTGCATATTCTTTTTCAATTTATTTATGTCTTAATAAAATTTTAAACCAACCTTAGATAGCAAATTCCTATTCATTATTGAATCTGTTTTTATATTATTTGATTACAGGTTAAGGTTAGAAACTCGTGTAATCAAAAGTTTATTCACTTAAAAGAATTGTACAGGTATTGACATGCGTAGGAACTGCTGTTGGAGGAGATAATGTAGGAGGTTTAGTGGGATTAGAAGTATGAGGAGGAATAGTTATCGTGTTAGGAGGAGTTGGTACGGTAATAATTGGTGGGGTGATTAAAGTTGCAGGAGGTGTATTAACTGAACGTGTTGGAATAGTTATTGTATGAGTAGATAATATAGGAGGATTTGTAGGAGTAAAGGGAAGAGTTGGGGGTGTTACTACTCCAGTTTTAGGTGGTGTTACTACTCCAGTTTTAGGTGGTGTTACTACTCCAGTTTTAGGTGGTGTTACTACTCCAGTTTTGGGTGGTGTTACTACTCCAGTTTTAGGTGGTGTTACTACTCCAGTTTTAGGTGGTGTTACTACTCCAGTTTTGGGTGGTGTTACTACTCCAGTTTTAGGTGGTGTTACTACTCCAGTTTTAGGTGGTGTTACTACTCCAGTTTTAGGTGGTGTTACTACTCCAGTTTTAGGTGGTGTTACTACTCCAGTTTTGGGTGGTGTTACTACTCCAGTTTTAGGTGGTGTTACTACTCCAGTTTTGGGTGGTGTTACTACTCCAGTTTTGGGTGGTGTTACTACTCCAGTTTTAGGTGGTGTTACTACTCCAGTTTTGGGTGGTGTTACTACTCCAGTTTTAGGTGGTGTTACTACTCCAGTTTTGGGTGGTGTTACTACTCCAGTTTTAGGTGGTGTTACTACTCCAGTTTTAGGTGGTGTTACTACTCCAGTTTTAGGTGGTGTTACTACCCCAGTTTTAGGTGGTGTTACTACTCCAGTTTTAGGTGGTGTTACTACTCCAGTTTTAGGTGGTGTTACTACTCCAGTTTTGGGTGGTGTTACTACTCCAGTTTTGGGTGGTGTTACTACTCCAGTTTTAGGTGGTGTTACTACTCCAGTTTTAGGTGGTGTTACTACTCCAGTTTTAGGTGGTGTTACTACTCCAGTTTTGGGTGGTGTTACTACTCCAGTTTTGGGTGGTGTTACTACTCCAGTTTTAGGTGGTGTTACTACTCCAGTTTTAGGTGGTGTTACTACTCCAGTTTTGGGTGGTGTTACTACTCCAGTTTTAGGTGGTGTCACTACCCCAGTTTTGGGTGGTGTAACGACTCCAGTTTTAGGTGGTGTTACTACTCCAGTTTTAGGTGGTGTTACTACTCCAGTTTTGGGTGGTGTTACTACTCCAGTTTTGGGTGGTGTTACTACTCCAGTTTTAGGTGGTGTTACTACTCCAGTTTTAGGTGGTGTTACTACTCCAGTTTTGGGTGGTGTTACTACTCCAGTTTTAGGTGGTGTTACGACTCCAGTTTTGGGTGGTGTTACTACTCCAGTTTTGGGTGGTGTTACTACTCCAGTTTTAGGTGGTGTTACGACTCCAGTTTTAGGTGGTGTTACTACACCAGTTTTGGGTGGTGTTACTACTCCAGTTT